AGTTTAGCACTGAGTTAGTACGCACCTTTCTCTTGGCCTCCTCAAACCCTTTAGAATAAGTAAGGACACAGTTAGTTTTTTTTTTACAGTTTTCTTATGTCATTGTTGGAAACATTTTCCTTCTCACAAAGTAATAAATGAAACCTAGAGGTTTGCACTCAATGTCATTACCTCCTATGCTCTACTTCTTAGCAGGAATACATTTTAATTTAAATAAAATTAATTTTGAGTGGCTTGCTGAAATTATCATGCGTGACATTAATTCTAGTGACGCCTGTTCTGGTAAAGTCAGTACTGTGATTTGTAAAAACCAACAGCTCCCTATTGGATATAACAAATATGAAAGTGGAAGGAAAATCTAATAATTTGAAGTTGACACCTTCAGTTTATGTGTTTATTACCTTCTAATCTACAGGGAGGAGGCTTTAGAGGGCAAGTTAAAGAACAGCAGGTCAGATTTGCAAGATGCATTCATATATACTTTCAAAGTCTCTTTTTTCCCCAAGAATGATAAGTTCACAATAGAAACAAAACTCATTTTTATATTTGCATATTAACCAAGTGAATGCTATTAAAGGTGATACGACAGTCTCAGCACAAGAAAAATGCAGGATTTTAAAGTGTTGAGGTTTTATTAAAGATTTCAAGGAATTGGAAATTTGAATTTGTAAAAGTAAAACCAATTTGTTGTTTCATTTTTGAGTTTACATAAGTACAATTTCATTTCACAATAAATCAGAGTACACTCATGTTAACATTGCTTTTAAGCTTAGCCAGTTAAAATTGGACACCTCCTCCAGATTCAACCAAAAGTGCATTTAAAGGCTGTTAGTGGTGCTGACGTTCTTCACCGGAAGAGGGGCCCCAAATCAAATGTGGCTTAATACAAACGTGCGATATATGACCACAAAACAACCATTCCTTATATCATATATTCTATGTTGACAAGTTGATATTCAAGCTTTTTTCTTAAACTGTATGCCTGCTGAAGCTATGTGTGTAGAGAAACTGAACCAACATGTATGCATATGCATAATTCAGAGACTTCTCGAAAGAGAGCTCCAAATTAAAATCAAATGAGTTGTTCTGGCTTCAGCGACTTTATAAAGCAAAGAAAAGGAGAAAAGCTAAACAAAGGAGCTGTATATTCTTTCAGAAAAGTCCAAACTCAAGAACCCCTCATAACCCTTTGCTACTTATCGTTTGAAAACTAAAATGTTCAAACTGAAGTAGCTTTTTGATCAGCTGCTACCCAACCATTCAATAAGTAACTTTATTGCAGGATATTTTAAAGGGGGCGGGGCAGGGACACACTTCAAGAGTGCAAAGGAACCCAAGACCTCTGAAAATTGCAGTGTTGGAACCGCGGAAACTGTCAAAACAAGGCTTGAAAATTACCAAATTTATTTGAAAACAGGCAAACCAACAAGCAAAAAAATAATACTGGATTATATTAAGCTTTATGTGATGTTAAACAAGCTGTACTTGTGAGCTTTTTATTTGAATTCCATAGACACAGTTATACACCGAACCTGACCAGTGGGAAAATGAGAGTCTTATTCAGATAAGCAGCCAAGAAGCTCATGACAACTCTGGAGGAGCTGTAGAGATCCACAGCTCACAAATCTGTCCCAAAGACAAATATCTCTAATTGTGTTCAATTAAATAGCACCAAGTTTCAAGTATCATCTCAATGCACTTTAAAACGCAAACTCATCAAATATATATACAGAAATGTTGAGTGAAATCAATAAAATCATACAGACAAAAATAAATACGATACTTTTGAATATGATCTAACACAGTGTAATCAAATTCAGTTCAAAATATCAACTTGCAAAACAATCTTTTAAGGAACCCAACCAATTGCACCAGCTCATTAATGTTGCAGCAATCTCTTAGCATGCATGACTGTACAAAGGGACAACTGTACAGGAGGAAACCTCCAGAAGAACTTAGGTCAATGTGAACACAGATCTTCAATTCAAATGGGAATTTGAGAAGACAAAGTAGACACACAGACTCACTGGTCTGCAAGTACTTTCTATGTTACAGAATATTTACAGTAAACGGAGTTAATAGCATTTTAGTTACTTAATTTGAAAGACAAAACACAAGATACCACATCATCTATGAGCCAGTAGTATCATCTATAGGAGGAAAAACTGAGTAGATTAAATAGTTTTATAAACTGCAAACCTAGTATTCATGAAGAGTAACAGAAAGCATGAGATTGTTAAATGAAATCCATAGGAAGTCCTGTTTGCAATTTCCTACAAACCACACAGGATAAAACACAGGAAAAGGGAGCTTTTCCTAAGAGGGACATGTAACTGAACTTGACATATAAACTAACAAGGCACCTTCCTCTCAATAAAGCATGGTGTTGGGAGTAGCATGGTATGGACATAGTGTTCTTCAACAGAAAAAATAAGATGGACTAATTTAAATACATGGCCCTGAAAGAAATAATGGGCTTCCGAGTTGAGACAGAAGAGTTACGGCAACCACTTTAAACTCACAGCCAGAGCTAGAATGGGGTGGTTTAGATCTGTGCATATTCATGTGTTACAGTCCTCTTAAGGCCAGACCTAAATTCAACCCAGAATCTTTGGCAGGAGTTCACAAACACTCTCCATCCAGTCTGATGGAATCGCAACACACATACTTGTGTCATTAAACATGACTATGTGTTGATCTATGAAATATAATCACCTTGCAGTTTAAAGCTGTAAAATGACAAAACATGAAACAATTCAAGCAGTATCAGTACTTCAACAGGCGCTGATTTGCAGCAAATAGCATCTAAAGCTTTGCTGTTTCTCCTGGAAGTTAGATTTCAAAGAGCCTTTTAATTGATAGAATCGGCCTTGTCAGATTCTCAGGCTTTACCATCAGTCATTCTTACCAGGCTACACTTTATCTCCAGATATTTCTCTCCAGCTGTCTGATTCTTTTTTTTTTCTTAACTAAACTACTAAATCCCTGCGAAGGTGTGGAGGAACAGTATATCGTTTTTCTCTCTCAAAACAGGAAAAGCCTTCATTCAAACAGTAGTGAAATGTGTTGACACATGATTGAGAGATAAAACTGCTTTTGACCACAAAAGAATCTGACTTAAAAAAGTTGAGAGTGGAGCTTAAGAATGAGGACCAAAGAAAGCCTCTTGTGGGAGGAAATAAAATGTGGGTAAAGTAAGACCATGTGCTTCCCTTTCAAAAAAGCAATATTCAGATATATCAACAGAAATTTGAATATAGATTCTCAATAAATTGCTCCCTTATGAGGCTCCCCACATTCAGCTTTCCTTTTGTCTCATTCCCTTTCAAAACTTCTGATCTTTTTTTCCCAAAATCCTTTGAGCGATTTATATATTTTACCACTTTTCAACTCTTTTTCTCAGACACCTTCTTTCTTGTCTTCTACCACTCTTCCTTTCATCATTTCTTATGTGAGGAGATTTTCAAACACAGTGAAAATAAATTACAGAGCATCAAAAAAAGAATATAGTACTTTGACTGAATCATTTATGTGGTCTACTATAACCAAACTTCAGCTACAATTGCATTTTTTTTTTTTGAGGTTGAATATATTTTGTAGCTATGGGGAAAGCCTTCTTAGCTGTGCATAATAATGAATAATAAATTTGTGATTATTTGAGCACACAGTCTGAAGTGTGTACTTGCCATTTTTCTCAACAGCAGTGCACCATTACAAAGACTGATGATGAATGTTGGCTTGATAATTGAGTTATGTTTTTCAGATTTATGAGATAAGCAACACCTCAAAGCTGTTTACATCATGGTTTTAATAATCAGAGAAGTGCTTTGTTGTTGCATCTCAATAAGTTAAAAATATTTAAGAAGGAATATAATTACATCTTTAGAAAATGAAATGATTTGATTATATAAATTGTCAACATGCATTACACATTATGTCTCAGAATAAAACTGGATCACAATAACAGCAAGATAGATAAAAGTATTTTTATTACAGACAATAGATCTTTAAAGGGGTGTTTGGTATTTTTGGCAATGTGTGCAGGTGCAGAGAGTCCTGTTCACAAAGGAATTCTCTCTTTGTTTTGCGTGTGCATGAAAATGGTTTCAATCTTTGAACTGAGTTACTGAAATGAATTAGCTTCGTTGTGATGTTCTATTTATTAGGAGATATCTGTACCAATAGATATTTCAACTCTCCTGTTGAAATATCTATTTATTCTGTCTGATTATTTTTTTTCCTTTCAACTACTCACATCTGAAAGTTTTCAGTTTCAAAGCTTTTCACAGTTTTCATTTGGCCTTTTTACGGCCTTATGCAAAGTGCTGTTTAAATCTTGGGAACGGAATGATTGATACAACTGTGTCAGAATGATTAATACAATTGTGCCTATATTTCATACATTGTAAGCTCCATTTTTACAACAAACACACTGTTTACGGGATCCAAAGCCTGGGCCCCATAAGAAGAAGTGATGTTTTGGGGTTGGGGTTCAGGGTGTACATTGATGACTAAGGTGTGAATTGGGTTTAGACAGAAATGGTTGTGTAACATAAATATAAGTAGAAATGTATAAAAATGATTGAAAAATAAATGGAAGTCAAAAAGTTCCTATGAAGACAGAAAATGTGCCTGTGTGTGCGTGTGTGTGTGCAAAAAAGGAAATTAAACAGGGGGAAAAATATACGTATTTGCTGTTGTTCAGCTAACTAAATTTAAGCTATGAGGATGTCAGTTACATGTTATAATGTATAGATGCAGTAACGTTCTGGTGACGAGTGGCCATTCTTTTGAGAGCTGCACCCAGCTGTGCTGTCACATGGTGCAGAACAACAATCCTACCAAGCCATAAAACAACCTCTAGATCTGATGTGATTCTAAATGACAGCATGATGCACACATAAATGTGCACCGAGAGAAACTCTGTGCTCTCAGCATTTAGAAATAAAAAAGGAAAGGCAATGATAAAGTTGAGGAAATTCACACATGTCCAACCCTACCTGTAGATGATGCAGGCGCAGTCTCTGCAGGTCCCACAGTTCTCAATGTCCTGCCCCGTCCTGTAGGAATGTCTTCTGTTGAAAAGCACACAGATGACATATCAGGGGTACCAGGGACATGTGTTGCTGCGTGTCCATTTGTGTAACCCTCCTGATACGTCAAGTTACCTCACTGAGCAGCATTTCTGGCACAAGGATCTCTGAGAGTACGCCAGTCTTCTTCCTGAAATTATCCCTGATCTTTTTTTAATGAACTACACCCCCTCCAACAAGCTCCCTCAGTTATATAAACCATGAATCGCAGTGTCACTCAGGGCATAACATAATGCTTCAAAGGTGAAAGTCGAGTTTGCATGCATACAAACTACTGTGGAGTTTTAATACTAGAATGGGCAAAATGAGACAAAGGACCTGTCAGTCACATGCCTGGGAAGTACAGTCTCTGCATTAAAGTTGACATGATATTGTGGGATATTTTGTCTGGATACAGTTTTAGCCAGATATTTACATACAATGTTTGAAAAACCCTTTTTATTTCTCATGGTCTGCCATTATGCTGACAGCCCTGTTCTGAGTTAGTTGGGATTGCTGATACTATTTCTATTTACTAGAAGAATAAGAGATCAATATAAAGAATATTATTTATTTACTTAGTCAAAATTCTGAAATCGACATAAACTTCAGTTTTTCTTGTCTATTTAGTAGAGTTACATTTTAAACTGTATGACTCTCACACACCTTTTCAGCTTTCCCTACGAATCTTTCTATTACGTTGAGATTTGGATTTTCACCTTCTTGTCTTAAGCCATTTTCACTTATTTGATAGTTTATTGTCCGTTTACAAAACACACGTGCCTAAGCTTGAGAATCCTAATTAATATCTTGAGGTGTTGCTTGTAATGTCCTCACTATTCTTTGCTTGTGATTCTATCCATATTGTAAACAGCACCAGGCTGTCCTGCAACAAAACACCCACACAGCATAATACTGTCACCCCCATACGTCTCAACTGAGATGGTGTCCCGAGGCCTACACGTTTCTCCCTTTGCAACAAGCGTCATTATGGCCAAACACTTCACTTTTAGTATCATTGGACCACAGGACATGTCCTAAAAATTAAACATCTTTATCACTGTGTCAAGTTCTAAACTGTGATCTGTCGCTTTTGATGATTTTTGGGGTAATGGCTTCTTTTTAATCTTTCTGTGAACACAGTCTCATTCCTGAGCAGTATGATGAACAGTTTGATCGTGTTCAGGAAAAGAGACACATCTAACCGTTGGAGGACTCTGACCCTCGAGGACTGGAGTTTGAGACGACAAAATTAACCAATTAGAAGTATACAAAGCCTTTGCATCATCATCTGGGCTTTCCAAAACCGTTAGAGGTCAAATAGTCTTAGCATATGTAAATCCCTGATTTTTATTAAAGTTATGAACAATTCCCCTAAAATGTATGGCATCTAGCAAACAGAGATAATTTAGGAAATCCAAAATGACTTAAGAAATAAAAGGTTTACAATGATTTAATGTCAGATATTAAGACATAAAAAATTGTTTTTTTTTTTTAATATAGGGCATGTAAACATCTGATTTCAGCTGTACCACTAAAAACTTTCTATGGATTCATAGACCCACACTCATTTACATATCATTTCCTGTCCAAGAATGTTCCCACATCATATATGTACTATTTTGGTGCGATAAAGCGAGAGAAATTACTAAGCTGCTTACAAGGAAGGAAGCAGATTAATTAAGTCTTGATGGGAACGGTAAAGGGTTTACACTAAGAGGCTTGGAACATCTGAAACCACCAACATGACGACAGCTAAACGTTGATTTCTATCAAACCTTGCATGCTGCACACATGCATGAAGCTACTTCAAATGCATGCAACTCAGCTCCCTAGTGATTTCCTGTAGTCTGACGTGACATAAATTCTTTGACATGCAGATAATTTAAGCTTGAACGACTGATATGAGACATCATAAAAATAGCTACACATTCCTCTTACTATTCAATTTGGTATTTCTTCATACTTTTCTCCACAAACCTAGATATTTTACCTTGTTGTATTTCTCTTTTTGAAGAAACTTACATTTTGTTCCAACCACTTATTCTTGTATTGGCAATGGGTACACCATGGAAATGAAATATAAATAGGAGAATTGTATCCCAGAAAACCATCAATCTGTAAGAGTTACCTCACATGATGCAGGGAGGTTGTTACTGCCGACTTGTGTATGCACATTTTTGGTGAAGTATAATTTGGCTTCAAAGAACCACTTTTCTGTACCACTAGATAATACATGAGATAACAAGCCAATGCCTCAGTCTAAAGCTAAGATTATATTACTTTCTTTCATGGAGTCTGAACTTTGAAAAGAGATTTTTTTTTAAATAAAACTATGAACTCCTAGGCTAGAATCTGACATCTACCTTTAAAGTCACACTTTCTATTGTCATACCACTTCTTTTTTTCCATCTTTTCTTTGGGTCAAAGGGAATGCTGGATGATATAGAGTAGCAGATGGCCTTTTTACACCACTCTTGGCCCTAAGCTAAGATGTCCAGCAAGGGCAACATTTACAGCTCTGTTGGCCTGAGGGTTTCAGTCATTATGTATTTACAGCTTCAAATTCTGGATCCTTCCCTTTCTGGCTCAGGGCTTTTATGTTGCTTTAAAAGTCAAACAAGTTCCCTTCCTATGCCTTAATTTAACCCTGGGTGACAGGGTTGAACTATCACTAGCACCTGTGGATTATTCAGCACCTGAAGCATAATGTTATAACCACTCCTATTTCTGAGAAGTCAAGAAAATGTAGACCTCAGAAGTAAAGTTTTGACCCCCCAGACTTAGAATTATTCAATCCAAATCATGAACATTGACATGACAAAAATTAGAATTTTGGGGGGTAAAAATAGGTCAAAGGGGAACACAAATCAGGAGTGCCACAGTGCATCTCTTAAAATGAGGTGTCAGCTGTTTTATAATAAAATGAAGAGCCCCAATGCACCACATAGAAGCAACCAATGTCGATAGCTTATTAAAAAAAATAATACACATCATTTTTTTGTGGGCTTTCTTATGCCACTGATGTGAGTTGCCCCTTACAGTAACTTCACAGTATTGCATTGTCCTACTCACCCATCTCTCTCTGCTTCCTTTTTCTCAAGGTCTTGAATGACATCCAGCAGGACTTTAATCGTATTCTGGCTTGTCTCCAGGACGCCCTCCAGACTGTGAAGCTGGTTCTGCAAGCTACGAATATCATGCAGGGGTCCATTGGGACTCAGGAGCTTTTCCGTCACCCGTGATGGGTCCAGTTTACACCTGGCCCCAGACATCAATCCTCCAAGAATTTCCTGAACCTGTCTTAAAGTGTCAGCTTTTGTGGGACTCAGTGTCCCAGTTGCAGGCTGACCCCCAGAGGCAGAGCAGCCCCTGGCACCAGAGCAACCCTGCTGGTTAGAAGGCAGAGAGTGTTGGCTGTTTGGTGTGTTGGGCCTGACGCTGGCTCCTGAGCAGAGCATTTTGTGTAGCACCCCAAGCTGAGCCTGGGCTGAGCTAAGACAGCTGGGCTTAAAACAGGCCTTGGCAGGGGAGGAGGTAGAGGAGCGCCTCTCTCCCTTCATCACAGCGACTGGTGGAGTTTGAGTTCTGTGCTTCAGAGAACTGGCTCTCCCACAGAACTTGGGTGAGTCTGTACACTTCATATTCATTGTATCCTCCTTTTTCTCTTCCCTCTCCATACCTTTTTCATTGGCTTTGCTCTCAGTCCTGAGCATGGATGTTCGGACTGTGGCAACTACTGGCTCACTTCCTTTTTTCCGTGGTGTGTAGGGAGGAGGTGGTGGAGGAGGAGGTGGAAGTCGAATGCCCCTCTTATCCTGAGCATTATAAGGGGCTTGCGAAGGGGGAGTGTATGGTGGTGCAGCACGAAATGTTGAAGAGTACAAAGGAACAGCTTTAGTTGGAGTCCCACAAGCTTGAGCATTCTGAAGAGTGGACACATATGCTTTCACAATTGGAGGTGGAGAAGTGCAAGATTCAAGTCTAGGGACAGGGGAAGGATAAAGGGTTATCCCAGTGCTGGCAGGGGGGTTATTTTGCACTGTTTGATACGGTATGTTACAATGAGATACTGTTTGTATAACAGTGGTGTAAGAAGGTGTTGTTTGATTAATCTGAGGTGTGTGGGAGCCACCTGGATGAGTACCGGTGTAATATGATATGGATGTGCAAGACAGGGCAGTCTGAGTCACAATTGTACAGGGTGTAAGGTTTGTGAGTGGTACATTATTTGTTGGACCTGATGGTGGCTGTTGATGTCTTACATTTGGGACAGCATTGGGTTGTTTGTTAGGTTCACGAGATGTTAAAATGGTGCTTACATTTGGAGTAGGGATGGAACAGGTTAAGGAAGAGGATGATATTGATACTGGGGATGTGCAGTTATATGATGAGGACTGAGGGGCAGAAAAGGAAGGACTTGAGCAGACAGCAGTTTTGCTGGGTGGTGTTGGTGGAGACAAAACAGTATAATAAGGAATAGGGCTTTGGGAAGCAGAAGGTGCAGGAGTGGAGGAAAGAATAGGTAGGATGTTTGGTGGAGGATTAGTGACACTTGCTGGCTTAGTAGGAGACGAAGAAGCTGCCTTATGGCCTTTTTCAGTGATTTGTAGTGGTGCATTTGCCAGTGTTGGAGGAGAAGTACAGTAAGGCACAGTAGAAATGTTGGTGGTGGGAGGGTTTTCAGCTGCAGAAGCAGACACTTGGATGTCAGAATCTAAGATGGGTGATGCAATTAAAGGTGGAGAGGCAACGGAGCTACAAGTTGGCAATTGTGTAGTGCAAGGTTTATGATTTGGGGAAGATGGACATGGAGAGTTTGCTTGTTTTTGAGGGGTACACTGCTCAACATTTTGAGGTAGGGTTGGACAAGAATTAGTGGTTTGAATTTGTGTTGAGCAGTGTTCATCACTCACATTTAGAGACTGATGTTTACGTTCAGTTTGACTTTGGGTGGTGCAATGTTTTGAAGCTGGAGATGAGGATGGGCCCTCTGTTTGAACTTCAGTCGTACACAGTTTGGTATTTGTAGGAGGAGGCGATCGAGGGGGGCTTTCAGTTTGTGTGGGAGTGGTGCAGAAATGCACTTCTTTTCCAGGATCACTTGTTGTCCGGCTTAGGCGCTTTCTCCTCCTTACTACTGAAGGAGTGCTACTTCCCTGGCGCTTGGGACCATCTCGGCAAGATATTGAAGTACTGTGACACAGATCATTATTGTGAAGAACTGAAGGTGGACAGCTGTGTCTGGATTGCTTTACCATAACACCTGACTTAATTTCTGTCTTTGATACTTTAGATCTTCGTTCTACCACAGTTTTATCCCCACAGCTTGGAGGTCTGCTCTGATCTTTGGACCCAAGCAGCACGTGGTTGTGGCTAAGGTACTCATCTTGAGAGTCATGCTCATCATCTCCATCCACACCAACTGAGTCCCCAATGCTGTGGCTACGTGCTTGGGTGGATGACAGAGACTGAGGTTTTTTGAGGCATGGTGAAGTCTGAATGGCTGTGCTGGTGCTTGTACTGGGTCTCCGTGTCATTGGTAAAGTTAGAGAGTTAGACTGTGGTGGCACCCAACATCTGCGTGTAGGACCAGGTGTTAGTGGATGAGGTGGGGCCCGTGCTAAAAAAGCAGCCACCTTTTCTATTGTACTTGCCATATCCCCACGCACAGCCCCCACCACAGAGGTTTGACCAAGTAGGCTCTCAGTGTGGGGTCTGTCTGTCCATGGCTGAGAGGACATGCTGTTGTGTTTCCGGAGAGGATGTGGGCTGTCACGGTCCTTGGCAGGCCGTTGACGGGTGTTATTTTCCCCTGTTGCACTGTTGCCACTACTGCTACTGCCATCCTCAAGATCTTTGAAGCGAACCTGATGGGTGCGGTTGCGACGGCGCTTGAGGCGACTTTCAATATCTGGTGAGTCTCGATTAAGCAGCACAGAGCGTACAGTCATTGTTCCAGGCAGTTTGTCCGCCAAGGTGCTCTTGCCGTTGCTTTGGCCTGTGAGCAAGTGATTAGGCTCCTTGCTCACCATTTCTCTGGCCTCTCTGTTTCTTCCCCAACATTCACAGGCAGTTTGCCGTTTTAAAGGCCTTCTTGTTCATGCGTCAACAAGGAAAGTATGTTTTTCATTACTGTTTTGCTATAGTATTAAATGCATGTGAGAGCTATCTACTTTATTGATGAGTCCCATTTTCCTCATAAAACCAAACAAAGTTCGGTCAAGTCCTGCAAAGCTTAGTCCATTTGTAGAATAATTGTCCTTAAGAAGAATTACTACAATGTCCACAGGTAAAGGTAAACCAACATCAGACAATAAAAAGGGTGTCAAATAACTGTGACCAATGCTAAGTTCTACATCGACTGTGAATTTTACCTTCACTTCTACAAAAATATGACATATTAAGATAAATTAGAGAAAAGCAGCATCACATTTTGTTACAGTGAACATGTCCATGCTTTTGTATGTCCTTTAAATTTGTGCACATTTTCCTTTACTCTCATTCTCCTAATTTCCTCTTGCAAATATCATGATGAGGCCAAAAAGGCTTGCAATGCCAATGGGGAGAGAGTCAGGGGGTATAGCCTGTTCATCCTTAGGTCGCTTCTTGTACACATGTTTTGTGTCCTGGTCCCTCAGGAGACCTAGTGGCCGGCCCATGAATTGGATGGTCTTCGGAAGGTCTTCCCATAAGGAGCTGCCTTTTGAAACTTATGTCATCAGACTGCTTTGTCTGTTTTGCTGATTTCACTTCCTGTATTTCAGTTCTGGAGTCAAAATGTCATTCTCCCATAGCTGAAGATGGTGTTAGCTCCTACAGAAAAGTACACAAAAAGAGGGGGGGGGGAACTGTAGTTGTTTACAAATGCATATCTACAAATGCAGTGTTTTGAGATGAATAGGATGACATAAGATAAGCAGCTATTTTGAAATGAATAAAGGTACAGTCCACACAGTGGGAGGAAGATGAATACATTGTTAGGAGAAACGACTGAAGAGTTGGAGGTGGAAGACTACAAGCAGCGGAGAAATAAACACCCCAAACAAGTGAAAAGGGATTGTAATTAAGGCCTATTCATATTGGCTGAAGGGGATACTTATGTTTTATGTCTATTTGATTTTCTCTGTATCATTAGCAATTGTTAAAACGTAGCGTTGCTGGAGAAGCAACAAAAAGTGTTTTTCCAGCTCTTGGGAACACAGAATGACTTATCATATTCCCCATGTGCATGTGTCTTACAGATTTTCATTTTCCTCTATGTTTTAACAGTCTGCAGCTCTGTTATCAGTTCTTGATGACCCGCCACAATGACATCCTCTCTGATTCATCTGGTCACTCTGTGGCAGTCTGTCTACCGTGCTGTGGTTAGTAGTATGTTCTTGTCTCTCTGATGCTGCGGCATGTTTGTGACACGCATACTATATATATATATATATATATATATATATATATATATATATATATATATATATATATATATATATATATATTATATATATATATATATACTGTATATCACTTCCACTGCTTGGCTTGTCCAGTCAGGCGTGATGCTGTCGTCTGCCTTACAGGATCTATGGATTTGTTCCTTGTTATCTCCTCATGATAGACCCTGACACTGACAGGCCCGTGCGCTAATTCTGGGTGCGAGTGTGACTGTCCGTACTCTTATCTTCTGTGGGAGGGGTAATTAGTGACTCCTTCACAGCTCCCAGGTTATTTAGGGAATGTGATACCCGAGGCCCTGCCACATTTATTTATGTCCACCATTTTTTTCTCTCTCTCTCTTTTTGTTGCTCTGAAGAGAGGGATCTTTGTCACAGCCGCACCCTTCCGTCAACCTCTTTAAAAACATAGTTATTAGGATTAATTATGATTACAGTCACACAGACAGAGCCTTAAGGAAAATAACAACCACAGTGAATTATGAAACGTACCACAAAGTTGAGATTCTTTTTACTTTCTTATCACTTCTGTGCGTAAAGATGAGCTGAACCAAGACCAAATCTCTCTTCGAAACGATAAATATTCTTATGCGTGGATAATCCATTTTTCTGCTACAGAGGCTGAGAATACAAAAACAAGGATTTATCTTTAGTTCAATAAGGTGCCTTGAAAAACTATTCATACCTCTTAAAGGGGGTGTTATGCAAAGTCAACCTTTGGGCTTTATGTCATAATGTTATTCCCTCATCCAAACATACCCAGAGTGATGTTTTGACTCATTCGTGAATGTTTTGAGGTATCACTGAATCACCTGTGGCATCCAGTTGGGGTGCCCTAACACTTGCTTCTGCAATGCACTGCCTAATTCCCCGAAGTTTTGCCTTAGAGCTGCAGTCTCCAGCCAAGCAGCCTCTCCTTGCGCTTCCCCAGCACGTCTCCACCAGACTAGAAGCAGCCATAGTCAGCAAACATCTGGTGAAACTGAGCATCTGTTGAGCTTATCATGCAAACTACAATACTTCAGATAACGGTTGTACAACGGACAGTATTGTACAACATTGTTGTGTTGACATCCCTGAAGAGTGAGTGTTGGAAAGGGAAGGAGGTTCTCGATGAAATAGAGACCAATTGTTATGCCTGATGCAAAATAACAATGTTTATAAGTTGTTTTTGACATAATGCAGCATTTTCATCAGAAATGGAGGCAAAACGCTTCATTGGTTTATAAAATAGCATGAGCAAGCACATAATACCCAATCTTAAAACATCTTCAGCTTTTATTACTTTATAGTCACAAATATCAGTTCACATTAAAACAATTTTATGTGCGGTAAAATAATTTGAATTTCATGAATCACTTTCCACTTCACAACTATTCATTACTTTGTCTGTTTTGACTGGGGGATTTTGACCGTACTACTCAAAATCTCCCAAAATGACTGGAGGTTTGTGGTTGTAATTAGACTCGTGTAAAAGTTTGAGTAGTATATACAAATTTTGTTCTGTGTATTTGACATTTATATTATTTCACCACTCTACCAGGATAAAATTCTATTCAGACTTTCCAGTTTCATCCAGGCACCGCCAAAGGAACATTATCCTCTCTTATACTATGGGCTGTCATCCTGAGTGTGCTCTCATTCTATCTTATTTGAAACCAGGCCTATTTTTCTCATTTTCACCCATCACTTGTATCTTCCTCTCCACCTTTACGACACTGCTGAAAATGTCCCCTGTCCGCATCCGAATTCTTCGCTCTCAGCCTGCAAACTAGCCTTGGGTCAAAATTTATGCAGACAGTTTAATGAATCCATACCCTCTTAATGCTGCATGAGCTCACTCCAGGGGCTGAGGCCAGCCATTTACCCACATGTGACATTTCCATGTTAAACCTTTATTGGCAGACAAGAAATAAATCACCAGGCAAGAGGATGAACGTGTGCAATGGCATAACGCCAACAGGGGTCACAACGCTCTATCGTGATTATTTAAGATTTACTCTAGCCCTCTTGCTTCCTGCTAGCGTCTGTGAGAAGGCTTTACTCCAAGTAGAGGCATCTATGTCCTCATGTGGGGTGACAATAATGCCTGCATCGCATCCAACTCTTCTTTTCTAAACCACGGTTACTCAGAGAAGCACAGATCTCATGGTCTCAGGAAACAAGAACATCCTGAATGTGCAAATATAATTGTAATTTTCTGAGCCCGGGGTTCTACAGGAGTAGTGAGAATTACATGCATGACAATAACACACCTTTGGCTCTCCCTGTGCGAGGGAGGTAGGGGGGGTTCTGTGGTTTGAATTGTTATGTAAAGTCATGTCAGATCAGATTGTCTAGGCATGCCTAAATTTGTCAGACAGGACTAAGAGGAGGAGGAGGCAGGAAGAGGAAGGAGAAGAGAAAGACATGCTTAGTTATATTTAGAGATGCTATGAGACACAGAGTGAACTGCGAGGACTAGGATTCTGAATAAGTAAGAGGGAGATAGGGCAGAGGGAAAAAGCAGGGGCGGTGGAGGGAGGGGTGGCGGGGGCATGGGGAGAGTTGGGTTGGCAGGCCGCAAAGCAGGAGGGAACAACCCCTGGCAGCAGAGGAAATGTCATGGTTAGGGTTCAGTGAAGTGGTAAATCGGGAGCATCAGCGCGTCAGGGCATTTAAGGGTTTACTGAAGAGGAACTAAGAAAAGCTATATGATCAGTCATTGGCCCTGTGAACACAAAGAGGCTCCTGGTTTATACCTGTGCTCTGTCACAGAAATGAACAACACTCTCGTGGCTCTCACAGTAGATGCAACCCGCACCAGCCGTTGCAGTTCTCCTGCGGTCTTGTCAAAAGGGATCACCAATTCAAGAACAGCTCCCTGGGAGTCGCTATTAGATGCCTATTTTGTCAGGTAAGCACTGTGTTCAGCAAAGCGCAGCAAAGTCTCACGCAAGCAGGTGTTTCATTTTATTTGATACAATACAAGCAGCGAGTGAATTAAAAATTGCAAATGTACGACTTTGTGGTGACAAAGATTTCTCTGTAAACACAAGCACATGCATATGTAAGCAATCTTACACCACTCACTCCCGGAAATTATACGAATGCCTTTTGGAAATAAGGGAGTAAACAACTTTGACCTAAAGCAGCTATAATAAGCTTTTTTTTTCTTTTTCCAATTTAGAAAAATAAAACATTCTTAGTGACATGAGCATCCTTGGATTGTCCTGTGAAGGAGACAGAAGAGCTTTAAACCAGCTCATTTGCATTTAAGAAACTTCACTCGACTTCCCCTAAATAAAATCCACTGCTTCATACAAGTTGGCAAGTCTATTCTTGGACATGAGGAGTCATATTTTATGTCAAGCATGTTTGAGTGTCCTGATAAAGTGCTACATACTGTAAGTCTGACGCCATTTCATTTGTGGTTTGTCACAAGCCTAGAAGTAGAACATGTGGATGACAGCATCTTGAATTTAGGATGTTTTTTACAGTAGGGTCAGGGCTGGTCAGAGTTGGTAACAAAATGCATAGATGTGAATACAATGTAATATGTATTTTGTAGTGTCAACCTTCCAATGTCAACATCGGAAAGTTTCTGTTAAAAAAACAATGATTTTTAACAATTATTCCCCCTTCTAAACATTGGGTTCCAGAGTGAAAATTTTGTCTATGTGAATTTGTGTAGAAAATGAAAATGCATCTTTTGTGAAAAAGGTGACATATTAGCCCAAACATTAACCTGACCTATAATCTAAAATGCATCATATGTGTCACACCCAACAACAACAACGGCGAATTACAAATTTATAATGGTTCTGCAGCCAGGGCCGACCCAAGGCATAAGCAAACTAAGCAGCCACTTAGCACCCCAGGACCACTAAGGGGCTTCCTCTGTGGAGCTGATTTTTTATTTTTTTTTTTTGTTAAAGTTTGATAACAATAATTAAAACATCTCAATGTTTGACATTGTCTAGCAAAATGTTTTTATGTTAGGCTACATGGCTGTTATATTGATGAGCTACTCTATGCTGTACTTGGGGATATGTTGTTTGCTGCTGAGCATAACCATTTTGTGGCTGAAACAAACATTATTTTTACATCAGCTTCCAAGTGAGATCATTTGAAGGTACATCAAAACCCCCGAAAATTAAGAAAATCGGCACCTAGAAATCAACTGGCCAATAAATGTATCCTATATTATACATATAATGTAAACTGCACTGCCAACACATATGCAATAAGTTTATAGCAGGTATGTGAATGATCTAATGACCAGATTATTGATTGCAGTCAGGCCACCTTTTTAGCAGAACTCGATACAAATACAAGTTTCTGAGTATTATTTGACATGAATATTCAAACAGTTCAGATTTTTTTTTTCCTCTTCACCGTTATGCACTAGTTTTCGAGCGTCTATCACTAAAAATCCAAATAGTCTACACTGAAACTTGTGGTTATAACAACGACAAAAAGTGAAAAACATGCAGCGTGAGTACTTTTCCAAACACTAGCTGGAAACACTGTATGGTGTAGATTCATTTGACTGATCTCATCAATCCAATCATCCCGAGCAGCAAATCAAATCATGCAAAGAAAATTTTTGTATTAAATGCACTGCATGGGAACTCAGTGAGTACAACCATTATGATTGTGTGCAGAGGCTGTTGTAATAGCCTGTTTGTCTAAAACGATCTCCGTGTGGCCTTTTAAAAGCCAATGAGACACAATTCATGAGCCGAAGTGAAAGCATTGTACAAAACATGCCCACAAATTATTTTTGTAAATAAATATACACTTATGACACAAATCACTTAAAATAACGACAGAGCATCGAAGCATCTGGTTCATTGTTGTCTGAATGTGTTCTCTGTGCAAACCTAAACTGTTAGTGTGGCAGTGCAGCTTGACGTGGCTTTTCTTCAGCCTGACCTATTTGCTTTTTTTTTGCAGATTTGTATTGAAAGAAAGTAGGTATTGGAGTGTTGCTTCTTTAAGGCTGTACATTTTTGTGTGACACTAAAATGCAATCCAAATACACTAGTTGCAAATAATGAGTCCCGATCATTAGCATTTGAAACAGCTTCTATGACTCTGTGAGTTCTAGTTGCCATTTAGGTGGGCAATCTAATATTTACAACTTGTCTTATCTACCATGTAATAATGGTTTACTAAAGCACATGCTGCTTGTTTTGAGATTAAACATATCCTTATGTAAATTTTTTCTTTGTATTTGATGAAGAAACGTCAAGCTGTCCAATAACCCTCCTGGTTGTTTCTTGATATCTAGACATACCTCTGATCATAAATTGAAAATGTTTTACGGAAATTAACTTCTGCTGCCGTTAATTATAATTTACATTAACATAAATGTTTGCAGAGTCATTCGTTCAGCTTTTCATAAGGAAGACGGATCACAACTGTTTGAGTTTTTCTTCCAGAATGTGTTTGCCAATAATGATTTGTTCCATCTGTCCTCCTCTGACCAAAATCCTTTGCCTAATTTGAAATTCCTATTTGTAGGCCAGTGAATTGGAGCAAGCATACTCAAGCAACTGTGTGCAAATTTGAGAATGTCTGCCCATCACAAGAAGCTGGAGCAAACATTGCTTGCTTATTAGGTAGTTTATGATTTGAGTTCTGCATCCATCATTGCAAAAAAGTTTTTTGCTGAAGTTTAAAGTTAATATCTTCATAATTTGTCAGGAACAAAGCAGGAAGGATGAGTACGCTCAAAAGATTCTCTGCTTAGCTGCAGCGAAGCAGTGTCACTTCTTTACATATCAACGAGTACATAATAGCATGTTGCCTCTAAAGCCAAGTCAATGTCACCTTTATGAAAACAGCTGGCCAACAGACAGGAAAGTTCTCCAAGTGCGGAGAAACTGAATGACAGAAAAATGGAGATTGGTAAATACTTAGCTGATGGGAAAAGAAAGACAACTGAAATTGATTCTATATTCATGTATGTAACTTATGCTTATTATGCTGACATTCAATGTGTTAAATAAGGAAGAAAAAAAGTATTCCTACTCATTATCTACTTCAAAATTCCACACTACATTTTCCAGACGCTAATTTTCAAACACATTTTGGGCTAAATCCAAAGTTAGTAATGGCAGATGTCCACTAAAACTAAGCCTGACTTTCCTGTTAAAAACAAACAAGAAAATACAAACAAGTTCAGAATCTTGCCCAAGCATCTGTCCAAGAGAATACAAACTCTAACTCACAATCTTTCAATTGCAGGATGACAGTTCTTCGTACTGAGCCATCTATAAAAAAAAATACGGTTAAAGTGAGAAGTTGACTATTCTCAGGAAGCTCCAAGTCCATCACAGGGTGACATAGACACACACCACAATATAAACCAAGGCCATTTAAAATTGAAAATCAACCTTACAGCATGCGTGGAAACCAACATGTCCACATTAGTTCACAATGTTTTTCCCATTCATACATAATTACGACAGGATCCAAATTTGCGTTTCCTCCCGTAGTCTCAAAATAAACAAATTAAGTTAATTGGAAACCCAAAATGACCTACAGAGGTGTGACTGTGTGCAAGATTAAATGTCTGTCCTGTGCATGTCTGTGCAGGCCCTGTGATGGACCTGGATTCCTTCCACTTGCCCAGTGACACCACCAGCAAACACACTCAAAACAGAATAAGGAGCAGCATACTACCATTAGGAGCAACTTTAGGTTTTCATGTCGAATCATTGGAGGTCTGGTTCTACATCGAAGGTGGTCGTCACTAACTCTGATCTTCAGGGGCCCCTGTGCTTCATGGCTTCGATGTATTATTTTCGCCACACATCTAATTTTGATGAATCTTTCAGGTTTCTGTATATCCTGAAGGCAGTACAGACATTGAAATAGAAGAAAACATTGCCTTTCACCTGAACAATGTGAAAATATGGTTGAATAGTGAAAACATGCTTGAAAGGTTATTGAGGTTGATCAAAACAGTAAAATAATGCCTGAATTTCTTCAGGTTCAATTTGGATAAAACAGCTTGGCTTCAGTGTTAAACAGATTTCTCTGAGCTTCTGTGGAGGTTCGTGTTTTGGAGATCCAGAAGTGATGAACCATTACACATCTAACACATGCAGATGTGTAATCAGTCCCCAGCCCCTACGGACTGGGGTTGAAGACAGAGCAACCCCTGTAAGAGAATTAGCCATGGGGAATTATGCTATTAAATATTGTAATCAGGAGGGGGAAATATCAGAAAGAAGAATTGTAATTAACTATGAAAACAGTAAACTCTAATGGCATTTCCAAACCCTGAAAAACTGACAGTATGCTTAGATTACTTACTTTTGCGTGCTGTTTAGTGGTATAACTGCACTAATTAATGTAACTAGTGAAGTGATAAAAAGTTTTATTTTTAGAGCAGGCTTTGTGTTTGTGAGGAATTGACTCTATGCAGTGGAAGATTTAAAGCCAAAGAGACTTAGGGGTTTTTTTTAAGCCCTTTCATTGTTATTGCATTAAATATTCTGACATATTGTGGTAAAAATGTAAGTCTATTTTTCCCATCCCTAATGAGCAACATGTATGTGGGGGTTTTCAAGTAACAATTATACTGATGGCTGAAACTTTAATCATCAAGAAAAATGATGCGACTATCCACATTATTTATTTACAATATATTCAGTCTGAAATGTTCTCAGCATTTTTTTTAAACAATTATTCCAGTAAATATATTATAAAAACAATACTTTGAAATCAATAAATCAGCTTTCTTTTTTTTCCAAGTTCTTTCGAAATGTCAAAATCCTCGAGTTTCTATCGGAATCCTGTGCGACTTCCCTTACAAAGGTGTGTGTAAGGGAATTTGCGAGTACATGAAAATGTAGACATTGCTGTGACTAGGTGACTAATGCTACACCAAGCTACACCAGACTTTTCTTAGAAACACACACAGGTCTGTACAAAAGGAATTCCCTCTGTCAATACCGCCTCCTCCGGAAACTTACACCAAACACCACACACGCACACACACGGCCTGAGTCATGACAAATGTGCAGAGAAGGAACACAGCTAGATTCTGCAAAGCTACATCAAGTGCTTTAACAATCTGAGCTCCCGGCTGTTTAAATC